CAAGGGTAAGGAACCAGGGAGGTAAACGTAAAGAAAGAATCTGAAAGAGAACAGTAGGAAACAGGTCTTAATAAGGGAGATATGGATAAAAATTGGGTTAGTTTAAGGGAGGGGGGAGGGAAGGGTATACAAGGAACCTAAGGGATAAAGGGAAAGAAGGAACTCAAGGGAGGTAGGGCCATAGTAGAAGGGTATTATTACGGGAGAAAGGGGGGCAATGGGGGCACCTTGAGAGGGAAAACCATGATGGAGGGGTAAGACAATGTGAGAGATAAACAATGCCTAGCTAGCTTTGATAACTAGTGAGAACCATATTACCCCTACAACCTACTGACAAATTATACATAGGAGATCAAGAAATATACGTCTAGGTAAGGTTTATCTGAGAACAACTGGTCTTTGCCTAAGATTTATCTACATGACACACAGTAATTAAAAATACCAGACTGGTGGAACTAACCTTCTTGGGTGTTTAACAGTCATACTTCTGAGGTCTACAATAATTTGGTCAGAGGAGGGGACTATGGGAATCTCTTGCTATGTCCTGTAGCTGTGATGAATCACCTATCCTCTTGTTCAGAGAGATCATGGAGACCCCACCAGAGGAACTCAAATCAGTGTCTGGTCTGCAAAGAGGAGGGTCAACACATAGGAAATTTTTCTTCCATGCTTCCAAGCAAAGCCCCGGTCGAGTAGAACCTCTTGACTCATCTTCAGGTAGATGGACCTGGTAAAAGAAAGACCTAAGGAGCCAGGGGCTCCTCCCAAGCCTGTGTGACCCCTGAGGAACAGATCCTTAAATGACCTTAAGAGTAAAAATAAATTGATTTATCTGGACCAACTGTGTGGCCTTAAACACCCAAAAGGAAAGTATAACCAAAGATTAAAGGGGCCAATATAATTTCATAAGAGACCATATGTATAGCTAAAGGCTACACAGCAAGCAATAATACCAGACAGGTGATACCTCCTTCTGAGTTGTTGGCCAGGGTGGCCAAAGGGATTCCCAGATAGTAACTCAGCAGAGAACTGGGAAATTGAATAGCAGACTCCAATCTTATCCAAAGGAATATTGACAACTGATTACCGCTAGATGAGGAACAGCTGACCCTCCTAAAACAAAGACCTCTAGATAGGCTAACAAGATTCATCAGAAGGACAAGTAGTGGGGAATGGCTGGGGGGTACTGAGAACACAGCAGACAGTAGCAGGGATATCAAAGTATAAGGGCTCTAGTAGGGGGAGGGAGGCTATGGGAGGTTGCTACCTGGGAAATGGGTCTATTAAAAAAAAATTCTTCAAAGCATAAAAATTTGCTCCTTAATAACTAGTAGATGTGAAAAACATTACCACTGAAATCTACCTGATGACTTTATATCCATGCTCAGATGCTAAGATGCTCAGAAAGTAACCATCACTAGTAATAATCAGATATATAGAGATTAGAAACGCATATGCGTCTTCGTGTCAATTGTACTAAAATGAATTTTTCTGTATGAAATTGTGTATTCTAATAATGAAATGGAGATCTTTTTCAAAGTTTAAAACCTTATTTAATTTTATGTCTTATAGGGTTTATACGGAGTACAATATTATATAACTGTATTAATTCAACTGTAAACCTATCAAAATTTACAGCCAATTGTGAAAGAGAAGCATCTTAGCTCTGGAAATTGTTATTGAATATGTCAATGCTGTTGTAATGAAAT